CTGCCTCAGCCTCCTGCGTAGCTGGGATTACAGGCACCCACTACCATACCCAGCTAATTTTTTGTAATTTTAGTAGAGATGGGGTTTCATTATTTTGGCCAGACTGGTCTTGAACTCCTGACCTCAGGCAAGCCACCCTCCTTTGCCTCCCAAAGTGTTGGGATTACAGGCATAAGCCACCATGCCTGGCCCAGATTTCTCTTCTTTCCAAGGTGTCCCTTGCATTCTCTGCCAAAATTATTTTCCCAAGGAGTTCTTGAAATTCAGTGAGAGGCACAGTCACATCTGTAATCACTGTCAAAGTAATGATAATTGTTACATTTTAAAATCAGGTGGTGGGGTGGGTAATGCAAGTCACTTTCTTATTTCTGATAGAAATGTGAGGTATGAGGCTGAACAAGTTGAACAACCCAGTAAGAGTGAGTTAGCCTGTCTCTGGAATGAAGACTTTTCTTGAAATCTGGAGGGGAGTGGGTATGAATTGCCTGTGCCCCTATGAAGTTGTGGCTCGATGGGAGGGACAGGAGGAGCTGGGAGTGTGTTATCAAATGTTCTGAGCTTCAAGAAGCTCTACTATTGGGGGCTTCATGTTATGAAGACCAGTGAATCTTAAAATGACACAAAGGAAGAAATGCAAGGAAACCTTGGAGCCATTGACAGGCATCTCAAGTGTGGGGCAATTCATTAGACGCTTTCGGGAGTCTCCTATTAACTGCTTGAAGGGCTTATTTTGCAATGAATCAATGGTGAAAGGATTTCTTGTTTGATATTCTTTTTTTTTAATAAAGTTCTCACTGCATGTCATTCACTTTTTAAACATTCATTGTTGGTTTTGCCCAAAGTGCAAAACTAATGGGTTAGTTTTTAGTCTGCGCGTGGGGCAGGTTTAGGCTTCTGTGATGGTGCCTGGGGGGCTGCTGAGTGGGGAAGGTCAAGGGGGGCTGGCCCTGGACACCCACCGTTGGGTACCAGTGCTTGTCTACCTGAATCTGTTTTATACACTGGTGGTTTGACTAAGATTTTTGTTTTTTGCAAAGCTCATTGCTTGAAAAATATCTGAGAGTCATTGCTTTAGGGAATTGGTGTTGTACATAGAAAAATAAATCACTTTTTGAAGAATCATTTTGGATTGTTGACATCTCAAAGAGGCGAAATATGTAACTTTTTTCCTCTGTCACCGAGTCCTGCCTGTTTGGAATGCTTGGAATTTTTTAAACAAAATGCTTCTCTGCTATGTAAAGCCTTTTCTATCATGAAAATATTTTTACATATAACATATATTTTTTATAACTTTGACTTCATAGCCTATAGGCATGTAACGCCTTAGTTTTAAGGAGTACAAACTTACGTACTGTTTATAGTAAGAAACAATTATGTTTCACATGGCCTCGATTGCCACAGTTCCTAGTTCTACCTTCAAAAGAAGACAATTTCTAAGAAATATCCAATTGTAGGTATTCAAGTATGGATAATAATTGAGGTATTAGAGGAATCCAATATGTCTTTCAAGAGTATCCAATTAATTTCTAAGAGGTATCCAATTATGTCTTTGTTTTTCAAGAGTACATTAAAACTTTGACCTGTTAAATGTCTCCTAAAAAATAATGAAGAGTAAGACTGAAAAATACCTGGATTTCTTGAAGAGCAGCACCCAGATCTCTCGCGAGGTCAGAACATCAGACTTGGCTCTTCACACCAGCTTTCTCCAAACGGCTAAGTGTATTTGACATTTGGAGTGTGGGATGGTTCTGGCCTGTGTCATTTCTTTTCCCCTACTCTGGAAGCATTTACTACCAAATATCTTGTTGATTTACTTGGGGTTTCTCTTGAAAGAAAGCTAATTAAGCAGTGCAGCAGTGTTGAGAACGTAGAGATGAGAAGGCTGCGTGCGGTTGGGGAAGCTGGTGGGACTGTGTGCTGTGAGCTGGGGAGTATTGGAGACGCAAGCTAATGACAGTTGTTTAAGTATGAACTGGGAAGAAGGAAGAGGTAAAATCATTCATGTTTATGCCTGTGTTGACCCTAAAGAGAGGTTTTTAAAGAAACTCAAAATCCTGAATTCGAGGTGCCGGTCTATTTGAATTTAATTTGCTCTTGGTTGATAGCTCCTCAGTAGTTAACGGAAGAAGAACACTGTGTCTTGAACCTTACTGGACCTTTGCCGAGAAAAAACATGTCTTCCACATGGAAACGTGGAAACACATGGAAAACATGGTTTTTAATTACTTGGAATCAAGTCTTCTGGTACTGAGTACTGGGAGTAGGTGAAAAATCTGAAGTGCTTCACGTTGCTAGAGTTAGTAATTGTTGACTTTCTGGTATGACTTAAACTGAATGTGGACAAACCGACAAGCAAATATCTCATTTATTTTTTTACCTTTCCATCTCATTGAATTTGTTTTTCGCCTACTTGTTTTATTACTTTTGTACTTACATATTGAGACTTAAGCTATTGTGGGACTAGGTAGCAAAGGACATACATGTAATTTCTTTTGCCCGAAAATTAACAGGAAAAGAGTTTGCTTCTTGTAGAGGGGAGGTGTATTTGCTATTATTTATTTTTTCTTTTTTTGAGACAGAGTCTCACTCTGTCGCCCAGGCTGGAGTGTAGTGGCCCAATCTTGGCTCACCGCAAACTCCGCCTCCCAGGTTCCAGCAATTCTCTGCCTCCGCCTCCTGAGTAGCTGGAATTACAGGTACTTGCCACCACGCCCAGCTAATTTTTGTGTTTTTAGTAAAGATGAGGTTTCACCATCTTGGCCAGGCTGGTCTTGAACTCCTGACCTCGTGATCCACCCGCCTCAGCCACCCAAAGTACTGGGATTACAGGTGTGAGCCACTGTGCCCAGCCTATTTGCAATTATTTCTATGGCAGTATTTATTAGAATTGGCCACTCTTTAAAAACAGTAAAAACTATAGGATTTTGCTTTTGTTTAATCAGGACATGAAGTTTTCTGATGTGATATACAATATGAATATGTAGGGAAATTATTTTCACAATTATTTAGTCTCTTTCAAAGATAAAGATTCAGAATAAAAACAATCTAGCAGAAGAACTTGGATTGTAGTTTTTATTTTTCAGTCTAAAAATACCTTTTCCCATAGTCATGCCATGTGTGGAGTCAAATTTTGCTCCTGTACAACTTTAAGGACCTTAAGGATAGCTGTGGTCATGGACTTCAACTCTCTCTTTCTCTTTCTATTCCCCTTCCTCCTCCCTTTCCCAGCTTCACATGTCCATGTGATATCCACGTAAGGCAGCTCTGGTGTAATGGATCTGGCACTGGGCTTGGTGGCCTCAGAAGGTTGAGGTTTGTATTCTGCTCTGCCATGTACAAGCTCTGAGAACTTTGGCAGATTACCTAACTTCTCAGTACCACAATTAATCTATAAAATGAGGAAAACAATTATTTCATCATCCCAAGCAGAAACTCTGTACCCGTTGAACATGCCAGGTGAGGAGGTGTACCTGTCTCTACCTCCTGTGGTCCCAGGTACTTGGGAGGTGGAAGCAGGAGGGTCATGTGAGCCCAGGAGTTCGAGGCTGCAGTGAGCTATAATTGTGGAACTGCACTCAAGCCTGTGTAACAGAGAGACACCCTGTCTCTAGGGAAAAACATAACCCACAATCACTCTTCATTTCTCCCTCCCACCAGCCCCTGGGAACCTCTATGCTACTTTTTGTCTCTCAGAATTTGACTACTCTAGGTACCTCATGTAAGTGGAATTATATAATATTTGATTTTCTGTCTGATCTATTTTAGTTAGCATGATGTCAAGGCTCATTCATGTTGTAACATGTCAGAATTTTATTTCTTTTCATTCCATTGTATGTATATGCCACATTTTGTTCATTCTTCTGTTTTTTTGGTTTTCATTTTCTTCTTTTTTTTTTTTTTTTGTGACGAAGTTTCATTCTGTCACCGAGGCTGGAGTGCAGTGGCACAATTACGGCTAACTTGAAACCTCTGCCTCCCAGGTTCAAGCTATTCTTCCGTCTCAGCCTCCCAAGTAGCTGGGATTACAGACACGTGCCACCATGCCTGGCTAATTTTGTATTTTTAGTAGACATGGGGTTTCACCATGTTGCCCATGCTGGTCTTAAACTCCTGACCTCAAGTGATCCACCTGCCTTGGTGTCCCACAGTGCTGGGATTACTGGCATGAGCCACTGCACCCGGCCTCATTCTTCTGTTGATGGACACTTGGGCCGCTTCAACCATTTGGTTATTGTGAATAATTTTGCTATGAACATGGGTGTGCAAATATCTCTTTGAGATTTTGCTTTCGGTCTTTTGAGCATATACCCAGACGAGGAATTGCTGGATCATACGTTACCTCTTTGTTTAACTTTTTGAGTGACATTCTATTTTTAAGAACTTTTGAATCTGTGGAATTGATTGTAGTGGTGCAACTCCTAAATGATATGTTTGCTCATAGTGGTATTCCCCTCCTCAGCTTTATTGAGGTATAATTGACAAATTATATGTATTTGTGGTATACAGTGGGGTGTTTTGCTATGCATATACATTGTGAAATACTTAAATCAAGCTAATGAACATTATCACTTCTCATTTTTTTTTTTTTTTTGTGGTGAGATCATTTAAAATCTACTGTTGGCCATTTTCAAGTATACAGTGTATTATTACTAACCCTAGTCACCATGCTGTATGAAACTCCCCAGAACTTACTCATTTTGTCTAAATGAAACTTTGTAAGCTTGACCAACATCTCCTCATTCCCACCTCACCGTAGTGGTCTTTTAAGTTCCGTAACTCATAGGATGTGAATCAGGACCGTGAGGTCAGCTTAAATTTCAGGACTTTAGGGACATCTTGCCAAGGTAGCACACTCTCTAGCCCGTGGTTCTCAGAAATGCATTCGCTGTAAGTTGAGGGATAACTGAGGGTGAGAATTTGATCAGCTGGCCTCCCGCTGTGTTGGCTAAGCAAGAGCTTTATCAATCCATATAATATTTTCTGCTTTTGACCTTTTATAGGGATTGAGGAGACTGAAGAAAGTTGAAGACAGGCTGATGGGCTCAGCTGGTAGGCTCCACTATCTCACCATGACAGCTGAAAATTCCACTGCTGGAGACCTGGCTCCAGCCCCCCTCATCACTTGCAAACTCTGTCTGTGTGAGCAGTCTCTGGACAAGATGACCACACTCCAGGAATGCCATTGCATCTTTTGCACAGCTGTAAGTTTTCTTTGATGCGTTCACTATGAGAAAATACATTGGGAAAAATTATAAAAGTAGGATATAATTCTGCAGTTTATTAAGAAGCCAGACTTTGCTGCAATATGATCCTGCTTTGGAAAGCATTTCATATTTGAATCTAATTCCAAGTAGTATCTTAAATGGTTAATCATGGGTTTACCTGTTCTAGGTAAGTATAATGTATGTTTGAAATTTATTTATTGGCTGAATAGTCTTTCTGTTAAGGTTCAAGGTATGGAACTTACTTGCAATTCTGTAGTTAACTGTAGCTATGGAACAGAATAGAAAAATTTATTTTTTATTCTGTAGTTAAGTACCACCTATAAGAAACTTACTAGGTATTTTGAATGATGGAGAAGTCAGGTAGCAATTTACTTTATCTACTGAGTTTTCATTCGTGTACTTGTTCATCTTCCGCAAAGCATATGGTAGAAATTATACTATGTCATGACTCCTTTTATTCTGTTTTCACAATATGCGGAATGCTTTTTATTCCACTTAATGAGAGCCCTGTAGATGTCCAGAAGTGGGCTTACCCCTTTTAGTGTGACACCTGCTATCAATACCTGTGGCCTTTACTGCCACTTTTACTTGAAGGTTGTTGGTTGGTTAAGGTATAAAGAGAGAAAATAGAGTTCCTGTAGGGTTCTATGACAGAGAATAGCATTGTTTGTTCATTTAACCAACAGATATCTATTAAGCAGGAACAATGTCCCAGGAATGGTTCTAGGCACCAGGATTTCTCAGTTAAGGAAACAAAACCCTTGCTTTTAGGAGCTTATAGTCTATCCAAGAAAGTTATGTAGGAGTTCAGGGCTGAAAGGATGTTGCTGTTTTAAATAGGGTGGTCAGAAGTCGGCCTTGCTGAGGAGTAATGTTTGTACTGTTTCTCCTTCCTCTTGTTTGTTTACAGGAAGTAGAGAAATGGCCTTGTCATCTCAGAGCAACTTCAGTTTCCTTTGGTCTTGCTTTGTTTCTGAAGGCTGTCCTTCAAAACAATTATTTCTCTGGCTTTCTCAACCTTGCTGCAGACCTTTGTTAATCCTTGAAACAAATGAGTCAGAAGCAACATTTGGTGAAAACTAGGATGCAGATATTTTGCTGAGGGTTACTGCTGTTTAAAAGAATTCAGTTTTTGCTATGACATTTAATAGTGCAGAATTCACGTTTGTGCGTCAACACTGGGCAGATAACACGAGTGAAGGTTGTATTTCATCTTTGCAGGGAAGTAACACTGTCTTGTTATTGTTTCAGTAGATTTTTGTTCCTGATTAAAAACAGCATGGCTGCTTCTCATTTCTCTTTCAGCAATTTCAGGGGAGGAGTTAGGACAGTTAGCTTATTTCATCATCTAGATTCACGCTTCCTTACTGTTAGGGAGTGCTCAAAAGCAGGAAGTCAAATAGCTTAATATTTTTGGTATCCCTCAATTTTGGACCTTTTTGCACCACGAAACATTAACTTTCCCTGGTATCCTCTTACGCTATTACCTATGAGCTGCCAAAATAGTAAGCGATGTAGTATTACATTAGTGTCTGTAAGATTGCACTATGAATCAGACTCAACTGAAATACTGCTCTAACTTTTTTTTGGTTAGAGATTTATTTCTTCTTTTTTGAAGAATGACTTAAAGATGTGTCTAATACTTCCCAGATGTTAATTTGCATCTGTATTACAGATGTCAAATGTTTTGTGTTTTCGAGACTGAAAAGAAATTTGTGGCCGGGCGCGGTGGCTCAAGCCTGTAATCCCAGCACTTTGGGAGGCCGAGGCGGGTGGATCACGAGGTCAAGAGATCGAGACCATCCTGGTCAACATGGTGAAACCCCGTCTCTACTAAAAATACAAAAAATCAGCTGGGCATGGTGGCGTGTGCCTGTAATCCCAGCTACTCAGGAGGCTGAGGCAGGAGAATTGCCTGAACCCGGGAGGCGGAGGTTGCGGTGAGCCGAGATCGCGCCATTGCCCTCCAGCCTGGGTAACAAGAGCGAAACTCCGTCTCAAAAAAAAAAAAAGAAATTTGTAACTTTTTCATATGCTACATACTACTGACTTCTACTTTTAAATAGGATTGGACGACGTCTCCCAATTGCTTGTGCCTACCATGTCTTTAAAACGGTTTTACTGAGAACCAACCCCCTGCCTCAGAGAGTGTTCACATGTAGTGATCTTCCTGCTGTGTTTGATGTTATGCTGGTATATACTGGCATACATAATGTATATGTTTTTTTCTTTTCATGTCAGCCAGGTAATGTGCTTATGGTGTAACAAGGTTTGAAGGAGGCATATCTCACGTGACTGTGAGAAGCCAATCATCATGCTTATGGACTACAAAAGTATCTATACTGGTGTATTTTCTTGGATTTATTAAAGATTTAACAATGCTCTATCATTGTCCTGTCCTAAGAGGCATCCCTGGCCAATTTGCTGTGAACCTAGCTTTTTTTTGTTTGTTTGTTTCCAAGATCACCACACTCCAATTCCAGCCCTACCCCAACTCAGCTGTGGAATTGGGCACATGATTAACCTCTTTGGGCCTCTGGTTTCTCTGTGTAAAACAAAGGTGCTAGGATCCGTCACAGTGCTCCAAATGTGGGGTGCAGTGTACTCTGGGCGTGCAGAAGGGACAGATGTGGCGTATCTGACTTGACCATTGCATATGAATCCGTTCTTTTCTTGTCTTTAGGGAGACCTGGTCTTTAAATAGATGCCCCCACCCCAAGTATGTTCCTCGGACCACCAGCTCTGGGAAACAGAGCTATCCTTGAATGAAATGTTACATAGTCAAATTAGCTTGGAAACTGCAACGTTCTTCTATTCCTTTCTAGGAGGGATGTAAGGCAGATTTGCACTTTAGAGGCTCTGTGAAATCTTGTGGTTAAAGGGAAGCAGGGGGTCCTGTTTAGCTTCTCCTGATGAAGGCTTTCCATTTGACCATGCCACCTTTTTGAGTGGAACATCTATTAACTTGCCCACAACCGGTGCTCTGAAGAACACTGCTTTAAATTGTTTCATGTTGGTAATTTTTGATTTAAATGACACCCAGGGAAAGGAATGTGATGGATGTTGCTTCAATAAGCCGTCAGTATTATCTAGGTTCTTGTTAAAGGATGTTCTGGCTGTGAAAATGGTCTCTGTTAGACTATTTGCTCAGCTTTAATATGTAGAATAAAATGTAATATAAAGCAAGAAAAGCTTTATACAGGAAAAAATGGGCATAGCTCTCACTGGCATGACTGATGTCATAGAACATGAGGTGTATTATAGAACCAAAGAGGTTGATATCTTGGGGTTATAGAGAGGGAGATGTAGCATAATTACTTCTTCAAATTTGAAGGTGAAATATCTCAGGGATGTTGGTCTATTAATGATATGCAAAGAGTGTTTGTCTCTCCCTCCCTCTCTTTTGCCTGTATATTTAACCCAAATATGAAAATTCTAACTTTCCTCTTCTGGGTTTGCAACACATTCCTTTAGATAATGCCACACAATGTTAATTCAAGTGAAATGAATTCACCAGTCAGTTATCCAAGTAATGGAAATTTGTGGAGTTGCTCCCTTATGTACAATGTTTGCTTCTGATTTATTTTAGAAGTGATTCTGTCAGCCATGAATTAAGGAATAGTGAAAACATAGTTGTTGCTTGTTTTTATAACCTAGATAATTTCACCTGAAAAGAGTCGGTATGTTGGGCATGGCCTATTTACCTTTCAGATTAAATACAGGATGTGCTAAGCAAAAAGAAAATAAAGTCCAGCCATGTTCTTGCCTTTTTTCCATTACATTCTATTGGCTCTGGGTAGTTAGAACACCTTTTACTATTCATTTCTTGGAGCCAAATGGATTTTCCAATGTTTAAAAAGTGAGAGGAAATATAAAACATTTTAGACCAAGCCTTTCTTTCCCTTGGGGCCTGTTGGCGACCTTTACGAAAAGCCCACAGTTGGTTTGGGAGACTGTGTTAGTCCATTTTGTGTTGCTATAACAAAATACAGAAGCTAGGTAATTTATGAAAAAAAAAAGAGGTTTATTGAGTGCACAGTTTTGCAGGTAGGAAGTTAGAGAAGCATGGTGCTGGCATCTCCTTGGCTTCTGGTGAGGATCTCATGCCAGGTCAAAACACAGCAGAGAAGGTCAAAGGGACAGTGGACCTCTGCAAAGACACAAAACCTAAGGGGCATCCTGGCTTTATAACAACTCACTCTGGCAGGAACTATTAATAATTCATCCCCACAAGAACTAATTCACTCTCACCAGAGCCAGAAGTCAGCCACTACCCAGAGAGTGATGCCAAGCCATTCCCCGACTAGGACTACCTCCCAACACTACCGCACTGGGGATCAAATTTCAGTGTGAATTTTGGTCGGGACAGACAAACCATATCCAAACCACAGCACAGATATTTACAGTTTGGGAGGATTTGCAGCGTGTATGTGCACACACAGTTTGGTAACTTTCAAATGAAGCATAAATCTGTAGTGGATCTTTCCTGGGTTCTAACTGTTATCTGCATTAGGAGAAAGGAATGCCACTTTCCTACGCCTGCCTCTGCTCTTCCCTTGCAGTATAGCATGGTGTGTTAGATTCAGATATGGAGATGAGAGGACCCAGGCTCAAGTTCCGGCTTTGTCATTGATGATGTATGGATTTGGGGCAAGTTGCTTGGCTTTTCTAAACCTTAGTTTATTTGTAGGATGGAGGAAGGGAGGAGTTGATAATACCAACCTTTCTTTCCCAGAATCCATCAGTGTGCTGAGCTGTTATGTTCTTCAAAAAGATTTCAGAGAAAGCAAAGCCTGTAATGATTTGACTGGCTTCCTCACTAGTCTTTTATAAAAAGGTGGCTATGTAGGTAATAGCAACCTCACCACTATTCTGAGATATCCAGAGATTAGCAATTAGGATAGAGGGAAATGCCTCTTTTGGGTTTGTTCAAAGTGTGACTTTGAATGCTTAAAGATCTAGAATTAGGACTTACGGGGGAAAAAAAAGCACCAAAACAACTTTGACAGTAAATAGATGAGCACATTTCTGGTAGATGTGGAAGATTCAGATGAAAGGGTGTTTCAAAGTACCATACATTTAAGAACTTGCTTACTTCCAAGAGCATAATAATATAATTACCTGTTGGCCTGATATGTTATTCTAATATCATTTTAAGTACCTTTTATTGAGGACTCTCTGGAACCACAAGAAATAATGGGGCATCTTACTCAAGGCCAGTGTCACAGAATGATTTTCTGTTTCCTCTTCTGGTCATGAGACCTGCCAACCTTCCCCAAGGCTTTTAAACTTACCAGCTCCAGATTCCCATTTCTTCTACTACTATTAAATGAGCCGATGTAAATTCTGCCAGTTCAAAGCACTCTATTATTCTGTTAGTTTCTGTTATTCAAATAAACTTGTTTGCAAGGTTTTATGCTTTCCTTTAACTTTGCTCGGGGTAGTAAATCAGTGAATTTATCTTTGTTTGTGAAATGACTTTAATATACTCCCTGCTTCTATTAAGAGAATTAATGACAATACTATGGTGACTTTTGTATTTATCGGTCAAGTCACGAGTTTATGATGCCAATTTTATTGGCTATATTTTTCCACCCACAACTGAGCCACTGCAGGGTCAGATGGCATCTGTGGAGAAAGAGCAAGCAGTAACAGCATGAGAAATGGATTAGAGATGACTCAAGGAGGAGCTGGCTTCCTGGACCTATGATCTCATCCATGCCTAATGCTTACCGCTTACTTATTCAGGGAAAGTAGTAAAATGTGGCAAGGGAGGAAAGAACAGCAGAAGAAAGCCATACTATTAAGGCCCTGATGTCTTTGTCATAGCATCATAGTCCTAGAATTGGAAGTGACCTTACATCTTTCAGTTCCCCCACCCTCCTAATGAAAGAAGTCCTTTTCTGGGATGCCAGCATGATTTGGCATTTAAGAGAATGGGTTTCAAGTTTGGTAGCTTAGGCTTTATTTATTCAACAAATGTTTGCTGTGTCTTGCATAGTTCTGATGGTTTGAATACAGTGGTGAACAATCACATTAAGCCCCGCTTTTCAAATATCTCAACTTTTAGTGTGTGACATAGATGCTAACAAGTAAATGCAGAAGTCAGATGATGGTATGTGCTCTGGAGAAATGAAATGATGCAAATGCTGATTGTATTAGTCTGTTTTCACATTGTTATAAAGAACACCTGAGATCTAGAAAAAAAGGAGATTTAATTGACTCACAATATTATGACTGGAGAGGCGTCAGGAAACTTAAAACCATGGCAGAAGGGGAAGCAGTCACATCTTACATAGTGGCAGGCAAGAAAGAGAGCACCATCCTTATCAAACAGCCAGATCTTGTGAGTATTCACTATCATGGGAACATCGTGGGGGAAACTGCCCCTATGATTCAGTCACCTCCCACCAGGTCCCTCCTTCAATATCTGGGGTTTACAATTCAAGATGAGATTTGGATGGGTACACAGAGTCAAACCCTATCACTGATTTTATCCAGAAACACATACACATGCCCAGAAATGGGACATATAGGAGGCATCCTGTGGCCAAGTTGATGCACAAAATTAACCGTTATGCATAATAATAAACTACAGGAGCCAGGGTGAAAGCAAGAAGACTACTTAGAAGGGAAATATAATAATCCAGGCCAGAGATGGTAGTGGCCTGGACCAGCAGGTGGTGGCTATTAATGTCTTTAGGCAGTCTATTGGGTCATTTTCTTTCATGTAATATAGTGATAATAAATCATCTCATAAGATTATATGGAAGATTACAATAGATAATCTAGATAAATTACTTACTACATTGCCAGAATACAGCTAGCATGTATAGCTCTACTGTTTTTAGTGTGGTTATCTAGCTTTTGAATGATAATTTCCTGGATTGGGACATACCATGGTATTTCCAATTCAGTAACTGGAAATTTCTAAATTGAAACTGTCTTTTTTTCTACATTCATTTGAAACTGGTTTCTATGTAAATTCTAACTATTGGTGTTAATTCCTCTCTCTAAAATACAGTTGGTTAGAATCTAATTTTACTATTCCTGTTTGAAATAGAATTCTACTCACTAGCTGCATATTATTTGAATGAAGGTTTTCTTTTTGTTAGAGGGCAAAAGTCAGGTTACTGATGAAAAATTCTCCCAAAGTGCTCAGTCCAATGTAGGAAACAGTGAACTATCTAAGTAGTGAGATTATGAGGCCTGCCTCTAGTTCCAATTCTGTCAATAACTCTATGACTGGAATCAAATCAGTTCTCTGGAATTTCCTCATTTGTAAAATGGTGGCTTGGTTTGGGATCTCCCTCCCTCCCTCCCTCCCTACCTGCCTC